CCTCTGATTGGTTATAGCTGCATTTGGTATTCAAAAGGCAAGTCCCTAGCAATGCAAGGGACTCAGTGGCTTCTTCGCCTTGAGTTTATTAGGATTTGTCTTTCTCTAGTGGAAGCATCTAAGAGAAAGGATCCAAGTCAACCTGCCCTTTGTAACCACTGCAAACAAAGGTTACAACCAACACTTAGCTGGTTTTGTCTGCTCAGGAATTTTCCAGAACTGGTTTTTCACTTCAGTTTGTTTTAACAATAACTGCTCATTGCCAAGCCTACGTTAGATGTTAGTGCTAGAGTCCAGCCTAGCCCACTGAAACTTAGCTTGTGGGGATTCAAACGAGTAGTAGATCTTTCTACACATCTCTGGCAGTATGGAGCAGGGGGTATGCTGAGAACTACAGAAGCACAGGGAAGACCAGGGAACCAGGAATTCAAAGGTCAGGACATGCTCCACAGTGGAAGTTGAGCGAAAGCAGAAACATAGATGCTAAGTCGCCATTAACCAGCTGGGCTAAAGGGTTAAAATGCCTAAAAACAGTTCAGTAAGACAAAACTCCAAGACATGATAAGTTAGACATAGAGGTACAAAGAATGTTTGGGAATTACCACACAATCTTTAGCTAGCTAGGTGACAATTGTTTATTTAAACTAGCCATCTGAAAATGTAAACAAACAATTAGAAGTTTCCCTGTGTCTTACAGTTTCTATTGCAATGAAGAAACACCATGACCAAGGCAACACTTATAAGGAAAACATTTAATTGGGGTGGTTTGCCTACAGTTTCAGAGGTTCAGTCCATTATCATCATAACAGGGAGCATGGTTGCATATAAGCAGACATAGTGCTAGCTACATCTTGATCAGAAGACAATAGGAAGTAGACTGTCTCACTGGGCATGGCTTGAGCAAAGGAGATCTCAAAGCCGAACCCCACAGTGACACACTTCCTCCAACAAGGCCATACCTCCTAATAGTGCCATTCCCTAGGAGTTTATGGGGCCAATTACATTCAAACTACCACACCCTGTTATAGTGCTTTGGATTTTCCCCATAGAACAATATAATTTTTATCTGCATAAAGGGAGTGTGTTGTTAATTAAAGTTCCCTTCAAAACAGAGGCAAAGCTTACTTCAGCTCAGAGAGTACTCGGCCCAGCATCGTAAGCAGATGGCTATGACTTAAGATTTCTAATACTTGACAAAGTTCTTCCAGTACACTTAGACAGGTGGTGATGGCATTGTCTGTGCTTCGGGATGCACTTATTTTTAAAGGTGTGAACTTCTATTTTTCAAATGGAAATTGGCACTCTACATCACAAATTCTCTCGCTCTTTCTCTCTCTCTCTCTCTGACAGTAATTTCAATCATAGGTGCTTTTCTCAAGGACCTAATGAGCTCACCTTTACTATCATTGCATTGATAAATAGGTATCAACATAGGCATTTAGGGGAACACACACATCCAGACCATATAGCACACAATCACTGATAGCAAGATGAAGGTATCTGCCACTCATCAATTCACTATGAGACTAAGATTGGGATTTAATGGTTATGTCCATCCAGTTTCCATGGGCTACTAGTTGACTTCATATCATTGGAATGTTGTTTTTATCCCCAAAGGCAATGTAAGGAAGATAAAGGAATTCTGGTCTAAAGAAAGGAGTTGAAACAAGTATAAGCAGAAGGCAATTGCTACCAACATCATGATTTCTTTGATAATATTCATTTGTAGTCCACATACCTCAAAGGTAAACATCTCGCTAAGACACGTGTGTGTTAAGTCTTACCTGTAGCCATCAGACCAAAGGAGAAACATAAAAGTTCTTGGAATTATCATGGTCAACCATGCTGTATTATTAGCATGTGAATGGTAAAACTGCATTGTGGCTCTTCTCGTGCATAAATTAGCACTCATAGTTTTCAATATTTGTAGGTATGCTGGAGGCAGTAAGTCCCCCATGGCACTCCCTTGGGTAAACAGATATTCTTTTAAGAACCACTTATAAATATTTCATATATAATCCCACCCGAGTCTCAGAGTAGTTTCTGCATTTGCCAAGTTCCCTCAGATAGGAAATGATCAATCTAGGCTTTTCTGACCCCAGAGTTACTTTGACCTACTCTCGTGCCTCTGCACTATCCAGAGATTTGCAGTCACTGATGCATGAACTTGAATGGCCCATCCCATGCATTAGAGTGGACCATTCACCTGGTAGAGTCCAAATGATCAACCAGGGTCTCCTTATCTTGGAGCTGGATTAGTTACTCTCTCTATTCCTAACAAAGAAGGAAAGAAGGAAGAAAGGAGGGAAGGAGGGAGGGAGGGAGGGAGGGAGGGGAAGGGAAGGAGGGAGGGAGGAAGGGAGGGAGGGAGGGAGGAAAATATTAAATTAACTTCTTTGTGTGAAATACTTCAGAGTCTCTTTAGACTGGTAAGAAAGTTGAAAAAAAGTTCACTATTTAAGGGTTTTGGGATTTACAAAGTTGTAACGTGTACTCTTTCCTGCCAGCTGCCTGGGTCCCAAATGAACACACAAGACTTATATTAATTATGAAACTGTTGGCCACTGGGTATGGCTTCTTATTAGCTAGCTCTGTCTAAATTGTTAACCCATTTCTAATAATGTAAGTATTTCCTCTTGGCCTTATCTTACCAGAGAAAGGTCCAGGGACCTCTTACTCCTCCAGCGTCCCACATCTTCACTGTTCAGCATCGCAGCAGAAAAGAGATGAGAGCAATTTCCTGTTTGCCCCTGCTTATATTCTGATTCTGCCCAGCTGTGTCACTTCCTGCCTGTCTGGGCAATCAGTCAATCAGTGTTTTATTCATTAACCAGCAAGAGAAACAAATATACAGAAGAACATTCCCTATCACAGTGACAGTCTTTAGGCATGTAGGTTCAAGACTGACAGAAAACGCAGGTAAGGTGTGGTAGTACTCTGGAACCACTCTGAATTGTCCATGTTTCTTTCTCTCCTCCACCCTCCTCCTCCTCCTCCTCCTCCTCCCCTCCTCGTCTTCCTCCTCCTCCATTTTCCTTTGATAAGGCATCAACTAGGTAGCCATGTCTCAAACTCACTATCCTCCTACCGCCTCAGCTCTAGGCTTATAGGTATATGGGCCCATGCCTAGTCTTCTCTTCTCTTCTCTTCTCTTCTCTTCTCTTCTCTTCTCTTCTCTTCTCTTCTCTTCTCTTCTCTTCTCTTCTCTTCTCTCCTTTGCTTTTGGTTTCTTTTCTTTTTCTTCTCTTTTCTCTCTTTATTTACATGACTAAAATGATCTCAGGGCCTTGCATATACTAGGTAAGCACTCAAACACTGGCCTAGGTCTTAAAAAGAATAAAAGAAAGGAAACACAGAAGACAAGTCAGTAGAGGAAGGAAGGGGAAAGAAAAATAAGAAGGAATGGGAAAAGGATGGGAGAGA